TATACGGTGACGAAATATCACGCCGCCCAAATAATTTTGATATTATGGATTTTTTTCCTGATCCCTGTGTGTTTAAAAAAGTATCGAGGCCATCCGAGATTTTCTTATCAAAACTTCGTCTTTGAGCGAAAATGAAACATCTGCGAGGCTTATTTTGTCGCACCTTGTCTGAATCAAGCCCATCAATCGAAAACCGAAAAAAGTCGTCTTCCTTTCGAAAAAAAGCCCTCCGCGATTTTAGAAAACAATCTCTCTCCGATGCACAGGCGAATAAAACTGTTCAAAAATAAATTGGACCTTTTAGGCACTGGGGTTTATGAGACTGGCCGAAAATTGTGACCCACCCATGGACCATTAACGGAGAGTTACGTGTTTAGACTAGATCCTTATTTCCAATCCGTCCACCGATCGGCCAGATGGCTCGAGGATAAAATAGTTCATTAACATGTCCTTAACGATCTTTTAAACTGTTACTATTCACGGCACATACGACTGTAGGTGGTCCAAGAATGAAGTTATCGGGCTGTCGAAACGATTGTATTTCGGCAATCCACGCCAAATATCCTGGAAAGTCATTAATGTCTTTTCGAATTTTTAAAAAAAAATCAACACATCAATTACGATCTGAGGGCATGAACTAGTCACTGGGTAATAAATCAAAAGGGAAAACGTTAACTTTTTAAGCTTGGAATGCCATTAGCCTTCAAATGCCAAAATAATATTTTCTATTTTAAACTAGTCACACTATTTCAATAATTCGGTTTTTAAACGGCGTAATTCTTGAATAATTTCATTGCTGAACTTTTGATCGAAGAAGCCTTTTAAAAAGAGGAAAAAAAAGGTTCTCAACATTTTAGGCATACTGCCGAAGATGGCCTGTAAGAATAACCTTTGGGTGATCGTTTCCGGTGGAGGAGTATCAAAATTAGCATAGAACACGAACTAATCCTTTCTCAAATGCCTTCTCGCTTGATTTATTCCTGACCTCTAATCGCGTTATAATCGAGTCAGTTAAAGCCAGAGTATATTTTACGGTTTAACAAGGCCGATAGAAGTAATAACGCAATTTACGGACCGCAAAATGTCATTTAACTTAGCCTGATCGATGGAACGAAGCCGGCGTGAAAATCGAATAATCTTAAAAGAACTGACAAAAAATGTACACATTTAAAAAAAATCTACCCCTAGTTTGGCCGGATTATATCTCGGAAAAGTTGTTTATATTTCTTTTATGTATGGATAATTAGGGTATTATCGCGACCGTTGTGCCCGATGCTAAACGAATTTTACTCGAACGACCTTTCGACATTTTAATTTGCTAAATGTGCTTATGTGATCAGGAAGACTATTCATGTACTTTCCAATGTTTTCTCAGTATTGTTTGTTGTTATTAACAATGAAGTGATTTACTTTTAAACGCAAAAGTTAAAAAAAAAACTCGCTGGATTATAAGTTGTTATTATAAATTAGATTTTGATCTGCTTAGATCATCTCCTATAATTCAAAGGTTGGCTTGTTTGTCTACATATAGTCAATAGGCTGTCAGATTCTAGAAAACAAAGAATGAACTTTTTTCAACATCTCCAACAGCAAAGTACATTTGTAATTATTTTTATTATAATACAGTATTTTTAGATTTAAGATTTAAAATAGTTCGTGTATTTTCCTCGTAAAGTTCCATATGTTATATTTAAACCTTTCTTTATTACCCCTACTGGCCTCACCAGGACCCAAACACCTCTGCCTCCACTAGCAAAGATAGTAAACCATTACGGATATTCACGATCTTTGTGTTAACCCTGTTAACTCTGTTAGGTCGAGAAAAATGATGAAGTAGATTGTAAGAATCGGCTAGTTAACATTACTCGATCTAACAGGCCAGGGTCAATGTTATTTGTAAGGTCGAAAATGTAGTCACTTTGCTATCTGTTAGCGCGTAGGTAACCAACATGGCAGCCATGAATTTAACAGCTGTTTTTTGTTTACACGGATTTTTATTCTTAAATAAGCATTAATTAAATCAGACCAATACATTTCTTTTATTAATTTCTCACCTGTCCTTATACTCTCGTTCATAATAGATACATCCCCTAACCTATAAAGTTATACGATCACGACAGAGCTTCGCATACCAAGGTCTTTCCAACAGTGCCGGGAAGAAAAATGGCTGGCTTTCCCCACTCATTCAAAACAACTCAATTTTAGAGTGGGCATGTCAGAGCTAAGTCGTATCTCTTCGATTCCACGTGATCGACGACCCATCAAGCGAATGTCAGGCAGGTTTGGAAGAAACCAGGGATCACATTCTCTTTGACTGTGACCTACCCAAAGGGCCACGGATTTCACTTAGGAGATCAGTGATGCAGCAAGAATCATATTGGCCAAGTGAACACAGAGAATTAATATAAAAACATTTGGATCTTTTCTTAAAATTTTAAATAAAATAAATTTCAACATTAGGGGTATTCACGATCATTGTATTAACCCTGTTAACTCTGTTAGGTCATGTTAGATCGAGAAAAATGATGAAGTAGATTGTAAGAATCGGCTAGTTAACACTGCTCGATCTAACAATCCAGGGCCAATGTTAGATGCTAGGTTGAAAATGTAGTCACGTTGCTATCCGTTGGGACGTAGGTAACCAACATGGCAGCCATGAATTTAACAGCTATTTTTACATGTACTTTGATTCTTAAATAAGCGTTAATCAAATCAGAACAATACTTTTCTTTTGTTAGGATACAAGTCAGTTATGTCAGCACGAATTGAAGCGTGTCATTTGTTAGTACATAGATAGCATTTTGAATGAAAGATTTGATTAATTTTCCTTTTTTATTAATTTCTGGCATCTTACAATTTAACTCAAAAGAAAACCAAAACAAACAACAACAATAATCACTGTTCTAGCTTTATTTTTGGCTCTACCAATCGCCACGCGCAGCATTGCGGAAAAATTAACGTTTAACATGCTAAGAAAAGAATAGGGCATTCACGATCTTACTGGACATTTCTCTATTCGACTTAACACGAGTTAACATCTTACAAACATCGTGGATACCCCTATTATCTCATTCACACGTTAAGAGGCCCTTCGTGATTTCAGTCCTGCACACCTAACACGATTAGCACAGTTTGCCCATGAATAATATGAAATGTAACACCTAACGGCTGACATATTTTTATGTAAAGTCAGCCATTTTCTAAAGCACAAACGATATTTGCTGATAATGAATATTTATTTTTTTATAATAGAGTATAACGGTATGGTGACTTGACATTACCTAGGTACTATGATCGGTTACAAAAACAATTCTTACTCAGTGTAAATAGACTCTAGAATATATTTATACACACCAAATTTGCATTAAAAAAATCACCTGGTCTGCAAATCATCTGATCAACTCGAATCGATTACTGATTAATGTTGGGAACGAGCGTTGCCAAACGAATCTTGTTAAAACGGCAAATTTATGACAAGAAAGTAATTTTCTTTGAAAACCATGTCCTTGTATTTTATTGGCGATTATCTGGTGGTTGCCCAAGATGCACGAATAAAAATGATTAAGTAATCTTTATGTAAGGTATTTATTTCATTTCATTTGTAGCCGAGAATCTAATCCTGATTACACGACATTTGAAAAATGATAAAAAGGAGGGAAAATTCGAGAAGAAGGTTGAGATGGGAAGTTGGATGTAGTGGATCGAAGTCACGATAGCTCAAGTGGTTAGAACAGAAGGTCGCGGGTTCGATTCCCGCTCGTGACCCTAGCTTTTTCATTTCAACCAATTAGAAGTTATTTGGTCAATCGGACATCGAAATATAAAGGATATAACGATTAAGAACGCGTTGTAAAATCAGTTTTTAGCCGTTGTTGTGAACAGAAATTATATATTACTAATGAAAAGGCGTTTAGGTATTAGATAGATTGGAAAATATTCCAAATACTTGGCAGTCCAAAAATGTCCCTTTGGCACTTTCTAAGACGGAAACCTTTTTTTATGAAGGTGACGATTTTCGTTACTGGTGCGTAAGCTCAAATGCGGTTTATCCTTTATGTAACACATACATGCGTTCCCGATTTACTCATCGTCAACAAGACAAGAGGATCTTTAACGTCCGCACCTGGCCTATTCGGCCTTATCGGACGCTTTGATTCTCAAGATGAGAGCTGACGCACTTCTGCATACGACGGAAAAGTGTTACCGCCGCAGCATTGGTGTAGTGGTAAACAATCACTTAATTAAGGTTTTAATTTGAGATAAAAAGGTCAGTGTCACGAGCGGGATTCGAACACACGACCTTCGGCTTGATACGCCACTACTCTACCAATTGAGCTATGGTGACTTCGATTCCCTCGGGCACTAACTTCCCATCTCAACCGCACCTTGTGAATTTTCCCTCCTTTTTGCCATTTTTCAAATGTCGTGTAATCTTATTTGATTCTCGGCGACAAGTGAAAAGGCCAGGGAGAGCTTTAGTGAAGTGTACTTCATTTTAATTCATTAAATTCGAATTTAATGACTATAAACAATTAAACTAGTTTCGTGGGTCTATCGGGAACTCTATATTCCGTCGCAAACCCACCCATTCACTCAAACGTTCACTCTAGTAAATACATTCCTTCTAGATGCGAAAACCGCGCGTGGGAAGGGTTGCTGGAACTGGCAAACGCAAATAACATTTCTGAATACTTTAGCACATTTAGAATATAAAAATATCTTTAAGTTGATAAACAATTGTTTAAATTCTTCAGTTTTATTCAAAATAATACGTATTATCATCTTGAAGGGTTTTATTATCTGCAGCGTGCCATTGAAAAATTTCATTCTGTGTTTGTAGAAAATAGCTTGACATTTTTTCCTTACTCCTAAAATGTAGAGTATAAAATAAAAGTTTTTTTTATGATATATATGCTAATTTTTATGTAAGATATGTAAAAACTATATAGCCTGATTGTTTTTTAATGAATGTGAAAATTTCTTTTTAAATTTGTTGGACACAATTTATATTTTCTAATTTTGTAATACAGAATCGGACAGTATCAAATCAGCTTTGTAGAAAATGCCGGATTGAGAAAATCCATTTTTGACATGTCCGTACGCATTCCTAATAAAAATTTTCTCAATCCCTTGAATGCTATTATGAAAGCAATACAAATCAGGCAGCCACATCTGAGCTTCGGCTTTTTCGGCGGTTTCTGTTCTTTGTGTAATTCTTTCACGAAATAACGTTTCTTCTTAAACTGGGGGCCTACTAGACGATCGCTTTCTTTGACTGATAGAACTTCGCGAACGCTTGTTTCCGACTTGATCTCACATTTAACCGAGCTTTCCTCCCTCTGTTTGATATTCTGGCCTTCATCGATAGAGCTTGTTTTGGCCCCTTTTCATGGATAAAAACATAAATTAAACAAGGCAATACTGACATTATTCTTAAAGGCCAACATTACATTTTCCACTTAACAAAGAGTTAAAACAGTCGCAAAATATAAAATTTATTCAGAATTTTCATATTATCCTACAAGAGAAATAAAAATTTCCTCAAATTTTGTCCATTTCCCATACAATAAATCCATTTTTTAAATTATAATTTACCCGTCCAAAAGCCAAAAAAATTCATTATTCGTTGTTTTAAGAATAGTCATTAAAAGTTAATACAGCATGATTCCTGGCCAAAAGCGTAAAATAAAGTTTCAGATTGCTATCTCAACTGTTCCAAATAGTTTTCATGTTCTGGTGTCACCATGTTCATGGTGTTTAGTGACCATTAGTTAATGATTATTTGGAGATCGTGAGATGCGGTCTGGTGTGACGTAGGTTTTAGAAAAACATTTTCTTTATCGTGCCAACGTTTCGATCTTTATTGAGCTCATCTTCAGGGCTCAAAGTGTTCGTTTTCTGTGTAGATGAGTCATTATCGGGTGTCGTGTTGAAAGATTCTCACATCTACACAGAAAACAAACACTTTTTGAGCCCTGAGGATGATCTCAATAAAGATCGAAACGTTGGCACGATAAAGAAAATGTTTTTCTAAAACCTACGTCACACTAGACCGCATCTCACGATCTCCAAATAACCATTTATTTTAAATCATTATACTAAACTTTATTGCACTCAATTCATTTTATGCATGTAAGAGAAACAATTCCGTCCCGACGTTCTTTCATTTTATCATTGATTAACTGGCCATCAATTGAAAATTGTGCACAACTCTCTTTGCCAATTTAATCTTTATACGGCCATTTATCCCGGTGCACTCACTCACTTTACCCGGATTAATTAATGTTAAAGAATTTAATTAAAATGTCTTGAGGACGTTTCGAAACAAGCTTTCTAATATAATAAACCTTCTGGTGAAGAGCTTGTTACAATTATTGCTTTCAGTTGAAACATAAAACCGGATGATTTGGAATGAATGCTTTAAATTAAACAACCTCAGGGTAGACTTAAAAAAGAGATTTTACACATTAAATGTCAAAGTTGAATGTTTTTTAAATAATTAATTGATAAACATACTTATTTTTTAATATTTAATTAATTAAAGTTGAATTTTTGTTATAGCAATGTGGTTAAGAGAATTTATAGTGCCAAATGGTTTTAGTAATTCATTATTAAATAATAATATCAAGTGTACTTAATGTTTAATTAATTCAAAATAGAGTTTCTTTAAAGAAATGTCCCTTTTAAAATATCTTTACAATGCAACATGTTTCTCATAATTAATTACCACAAGAAATCTGATCTGTTATTGTTGTTTTCTGAAGCTGAACTTCTTGAGTGAGTATCAAGTTATATTCAAATACATACAATAATGTATAAGTTAGAGATGTGGTACTATGGCTATAAAATTCCACACATCTTGTCATGCCCATGCTTTGGTTTATGTTTCTAGGTTTAAAGCATCAATTGTTCTAAACCAATCAAGATGTTATTGATGATAAAATTTATAATAATTCTATCATTTATCAATATTTTGGACATAATTTTTTGTGTGCTAACACTATATATGGTATATTTGCAAATATGTGTACAGTGCTCTTTCCCTAATCCGAACATAGACTATATACATTCCAGAAATCCAAACCGGACAAAAAATCAAGAAGTGAAAATTTAAGAAGACAAGAATTTTAGAAGGAAACAAATGAAATATTATTTAGGGTGGAATGGGAAGAGAGAGTGTGAGCGAGCGAATGCGTGAGCATGGAACTGAGTGAATGAGTGAGAAGAAAGAGACTGAATGAGTGAGTGATTGAGATTGAGATAGAGAGAGAAAGACAGAGAGGCTAAGAAAGTAAGCGAAGAGTGAGTGAGAAAGAGAGTGAGTGAGTGAGAGGAGAGGGAGTGTAAGTGGATGAATGAGTGAGTGAGTGAGAAAGACAGAGGCTCATACGAAAGAAAAAATATACGAATTTTCGAAAATTTCATTTGTTCAATGAATTGTGTATGTATTTTTTAACCCACTCTGTAATCCGAATTTTTCATTAATCAGAATATTCCCTGCAACCTGCAACGATTAGTTCGGATAACTGAGGGTGCACTGTAAAAATAAACACGTTTTTCAGCCAACGCCTAGCTTTCGACTTTTATTACGCCTTTTTCAGGGCTGATTCGGTGGTCAGTTTTTAAACATATATATAAATATAAAAACAAATGAGCAAAGGTCTCTCTGACAGACTATGTATACAATATAATTATAATTCTACCAATACTTTTTTCACTAGAGCATAATAAAGGTCGAGCCAAGGCTTTGGCTTAAAAAGTGTTTTTCTTGGGCCATTACCCTGATCCTTTACACCTGTAACCTTCCACTATGTGAACCTATATAACTATGATTAACCATGATTATTAACTACGTCATTAACCATCTTCTTTCACAAACAATAAAAGAAAGTTTTTTAGAATTACAAAAAATAGACAAAAATGTCAAAGAAATTGTCCATCTGTGCAGCTACTTTGGCTGAAACCTGTACTGTCATATGTTTCAGTTGTAAAAATTTAAAATAAAATTCTACAGTGCGGCCGTTCTGCCGTGTTACCCATTTATACAATATTTCACGTCTCGCCGTATTTTAAGTGGATGTAAGCCACTTTTGACAGGGAATGGACTTGGGCGTTGAGGCAATCGAATGCTTCATAGCTTTCCGATATCCCATGCATCTCGGATAGAAATCCCGTCGTCCTTGAAGAGAAATGACGGTCCGAGTATTCTTTAACACCTCGCTCAAAAGGAAGTCTGGCCAGAGTTTATAGCCTTGTAAATAAAGTGTTATGGGCTAACGGGCATCGCAGCCTTCGATTGCAAATAACCAGCAGTAAATAATATTAATTCCTTGTATGTAGGGGGGGGGGGGTTAACGATCCGGAGCTGGGCCATTTCCTCCTGCATCCCTCGAGTATCGTAATCCTTCTAAATCCCTCCGTACAAGAGACGAATATTAAACTGCTTAAATAATATTAAATTTTAACAAAATCTCATCTGATAGCTCGAGTTCAATATTTAAATATTGATTCACGATCAATAAAAAATTCTTGAAATTTACAACAAAAAATTAATCGTCATCGAAAAATACAATAGAGGCTAAAAACAATTAAGGATCTTGGGAAAAGCTATTATTAACAGGTGATTCATTATTTTAAAAGTTTTTTTAAAAAAATGAGATATTTTACGTCCATGCAGGACAAAATATTTTTTTTTCTTAACACAATTTTTTTTACGTGGGTTCGCAGCAGCAGAGGTTATATAAACCCTCGGGATGCCAGTGTTTTGGAAAAAAAGCCCATTCGTGAGTATGTCGGGTTCGAATGCAGGGCCGCTGGATTCGAACCCGGGACCTTTACCTTACAGCGATGAGCACCTTGTCAACGCCTTGTTTGGACCACTGACGCCCCCTTAACACTATTTTTTCATTATCAACCAAAATATTTGTTTTTAAATACTAATTTTGTCTTATAAGCACAGTTGTTTTGAGACAAGATTTTAAAATTTTATTTGGCATGGTGGTTTTATTGGCATTCTTTATATAATTTTCCGATCGTAATTTTAAAAAAATATTCAAAATATAATTTTTATTGTTTTGTCTAGATTACGTCAAGTATAAAATCATATTATCCTTTTATTTTATGTACTAATCAATTTAAGAGACTGAAGAAGTGATTTCAGCCTATAATAAAATACAGAATTACTTATTTAAAATTATTTTAGTAATATTCATTGTTTAAAAGAATTAAGTCATCTTCTATAGCATAGTAAAATGAACAGATTATTAACTAATATTAGTTAAATCTTAACCACATGACAAATTTCACTTTAACATACCTGAATTTATGTTATTACAATGACATTATATTTTTCAAAATTAAACTTAATGAATATAATAATTAGTAAATAGATTATTCAGTAAAATATGCATAATCGTGTTGAAAGATAAACAATAAACCTATAAATTGTTTATCAAAATTTATTCATTAAATTTATTGCGTCTGAGAAAGTTTCTTTTAATATATTTATTTAGTTTTTAAGCTGTGTTAGTATCATATTTTGTGTTTTACATTTAAGTTTCTGGTAATTGTAAAAAATAGGATAGCTCAAGTGGTCGAGTAGCGGCGTATTTAGCCGAAGGACGTGGGTTCGACTTTTTTATCTCAATCAAGAGCTTACATAGAAAGAATAATTAATTGATAGAAGTAACTTGGTGAATTGACCACTAAACCGTAAATGGATTGTAAAAAATGTTAAATTTACTGTTTTTCGGTTTTCTATTGTTTTACTGTTTATTATCATGGATGTATTTTTGGGTTGGCATTTTCGGCAAAACCGATTACGTGACTGCGTTTGGTTGGACTTGCGCTTGATTTTGCGTTACGTCAATAAGGTAAGGGGATAGTTAGGTTAGGTAAGGTTAGGATTAGGTAGGGTTGGATTAGGGTTCTCGGATTAGCCCATGATTCAATGTTTTCCGTGAAGCTGAGAAAAATGGTATTGCGAAAGCATGAAGCCTCCAACAACGTCACCCAGGATTTATTTTAGAAACTTTTCCCCCCGCAACATCAGTTGGTGTTTCAAAAATCAGGGCTGCTGAGATTCGAACTCGGGATTCTTAAAAGGGTCTAAATAAATCTAACGATAATTTTTACTTTTACATCGACGTTTTTATTAAATACAAATTTATTGTTTAATTTATTTTAAATTTTATGTTTGATGTTTGTACCTTGTTAAATTGTATTTATTTTGATGTATATGTCGAATGTACGACGAATTAATTTGCACATTTATGTAAATATCATTTTATATCTACCGAGAAGTGTATATTGTATACTGTTTATCTAGGTCTGTGAGAAATTAAATTTAATTACGTTTAAAATTTACAAACCTGAATTAGATATTTTGATTGAATCAAATCGTGTTGTTGAAATTCGCCGTCTGTCATTCGTTACGAATTTTATCGTTCACAATATTTAAAACGAAAAGACGAAAGGATAAATCGTGCCGGGGAATTAATGTCAAATTACGTTGATAAATATTTGTCAAAACTGGCGGAATTTTATCAGATTAACACTGATCGGGTGTCGATACGTTCGACCGGTTCTTGATATTTCACGACCAGAGAAACAGGGGAAAGGTGACTGCGTCTTGCCAGACCATGTTTGCCTTGCACAGCGGATTTTATACAGTAAAAATCCTCGAGAATTAAACAAATACACTTTTCTGCCAAAGTTACATTAAAACAACTGAAACGAATTAGAAACTTTTTTTGTTCAAATCTCCAACCTTTTTCATTTTTTTTGCCATGTTTCGACCTTTATTCGTCATCGTCAAGGCATAAAAATCTGGTGCTATTCTTGTGCTGTTATATTGGCTTTGTGGGAAAGTATTGTCTACAAGATCAATGTGAAACCACAAGAATAGCACCACACTTTATGCCCTGAAGATGACCCGAATAAAGGTCGAAACGTCGGCAAAAAAATAAAAAGGTGTTTTTCTAAACTACCTCATTCTTTTGATAGGAACGTTTGCAGAGTATACTGAATAGAGAATCGGACCAATGATACGTCCATGCGGAACACCCATTTCTATGTAGTTGACGAGAGGGAAGGATGTTCCGTTTCGTACTTTGGAATGACAGTGGAACTTTCAAGGATGGAATATAGTTGCTTCAGGAGGGTTTTTTCAAGGATTTTGCTAACAAGTGGGATCACTGATTTTAACGAAACCTTTTTCTATTGATTCTAGACTACTAGTTCGAAAAATTTTACACGCATAAATGGGCGTCGGTGGCCGCAACGGTGGCGTTGACATGGCGCTCATCACTGTAAAGTCCCGGGGTCGAATGTAAGGCCGCTGATTACTTACAAATGAGCTTTGTTTTTCAAAAACATCGACACCAACTCTCGTATTTTAAAAAAATTCATCGTAAAAATCAAGCAAAACACATAAAATAGAAAGAATAAACATACTTTGAAATTTTCTTTTTGGTCTGCTTTTTTGTACGTTAGAGCTGCGTTTTACAATTCTGTACGGTTGTTCTTTTTTTCTTTTGTCTGTATTCAGTGTAGATATTTTGACCAAATTTTCTGCTTTGGTTGTTCGCTATGTTTTATTGTCTCCTTTCTATGTGTTTTGTTTCAATATACATTTTTTGTCCGAATTCGCAGGGGGTGGGATATTTTCTCAGGAATGTACCGTGTATAACTTAACAATGTATAACCTCTCTGGATTTTATCCACATTCACCATTCAGTTAAAAAGCAGAATATTTTTTACTTTCGGGCTATGTCAACAATATTTATGCAACTATAAGTTAGAAAAATAATTTTAAAAAACTCAAACTTTTTATTTTTTTATTCGGTTTTAATTTATTGGCAGAGGCGACGTTTGTGCGATTGCGTGTAATTTATAAGGTTTTAAATCCCCCAAAAGTTTCGTATGCATCGATGGAGTCATGTTAAAATTATCACCATTTTTGTGATTTTCGAAAATAATCAGAGACATTTGGAAGCCTCGATGTATATTTTGTGTTTATGATTAAAACGAATCCAAATTGTTTTTCTTTTTCATAATCAATTTTTTGGCCTTCTTTATTAAAACATTTATTTTTAACTGGCTAATCTCATTTAATGTGTTCCTGCATATTATTTTCTTATCTTACATATCACACTGATATCTAATCTGTCATATATGACATATTAATTTATCATAAACACACTGACACAACCCTCATAATCTATGATGACATTCTAAACATAGAGGAAAGAAGACGACTGTTTACTGTGCTTTAATTTATATAATGTATAAATGTAATATTTATACATATGTGTGAATATACAAACAATGTCACGAGGCTTCTGCGTAAGGAGTATATAACACATAATCTACAACTGGCTCAGAAATATTTAAAAAACAAAACATACTTAAAAAAATCATATATCAAGATGCAATTCGTTAAATTTACAGTGACGAAATCGCTAAAAAAAATCAATCGTTATTACAATAGATTGTTTTATGTTACGAGACGTCTATATCCTATAGACACCAGGTTTTGTTTGGTAAATTTAACACTTACCTTGCATAACTACAAAGATGAATTGGGTACGGTTGGATTAGTATTTTTTTGCTTTCTTGTTCAAAATACGTAATATTAAAAAAAAACATATGTAATATATATTTTCTGGGATTTTCACTCATCCCACGCCCTGTTTGTCGAGATGGATTTGAAGGAAAACTGGGGAAAGTCAACCAGGACGATTTGCACAACGGGTTTTTCCATTACGTTACGTATAATATAATAATATATATTTTAATAGGTTCAAATTTGTCAAATGTCAAACAAGTTTTCAATTGAAACAAAGTTTTATTCCGGCAATAAAAAAGGTGAAATGTACATGTGCTCAATTCCGCTGTATTTAAAATTGTACACATCATAATCAACCCAACTAAAAATTTTTTTTTATTTATTTCTTTTGAATTACGGTTTTTTCTCTTCCCAGTCTAAAATTTCTCTAGGACAATATTTGAACAAAGGATTTAAAGTTATGCTGCGTCAGCGGTCCTTGAACATATGTCAAATGCCAAGCTTTCAATTTTATACTTTAATACTATAATAATTCAAAATTAAAATCGCATTCGATATTCGTTTTAGAAATATTTATATATAAAATATCCATATTTCATGTATTCCTCAGAAATTGGCCTTTGTTTTATTAACACTTAACTACTTATCTTTAACCAAGATTGTTTGTTTGTTTATTAATGTTAATGTATAATAAATTATTTATTTCAAAAATTGCTCATGTTTATGTATCAATTTGTATTATTAATTGTATACAAGGCCGGTAAAGTGTATCCTTGAAGACCAAGTTTGTTATGAAAGGATCCGTTTTGACAGGGTCAATTGAGCTTCCGTTAATCGTTTACGACGGCGATCCCCGTCCTTGTCTTTCGTACTACTTTCCGATAAAGCCCCCTTTCCTTTTTTTCTTTCTCTCTCTCTTGAGAAATTGAAAATCGCGGACACGTGCCAGGTACACGTGTATTGCCGGAAGTGGGAGGGACAGTTGTTCCAGGGACAGATGGCCTGTTCCACGCCCACCGGACGTGACGTCGGCAAGGTGTGCCACTCTCCGGCAAGGGTTGAATAATCTAAATCATTCCGTACTTCTCCACAATGACCGGATAAACGGATAAACAAGAATGAAAAAAAAATGAAAAAGAAAGACGAGAGAGAAGCGGAAGGATCGACCTCCACATCTGAAGACTTTTCTCTACACCAAAAAATTATATTAGTCGCCGACATTTACATAACGTCGAATATTTTACACTTCAACTACCTTACATATTTCATTTTTTAAACAATTTTAAAATTTATATTTAAAATCAAAATTTCAACGTAGACGCAGTCAGCCAATATTGTGAGAAAAAAAACATGAACCTTGTTTCCTACGTTTAATATCAGATTTCTCATCTTTAATGGTTGATTGTGGATAAAAGCATAATAACTGTAATTGCAGCTTACTGCTCAGCAATGATATGAATGGGATAATGAGCAGGATTGATGCACGACATCCAAGCGGATTCACATTGCAGACGTCGAAGTTTGTACTGAACTTTTTATTACTACGTTATGCCGTCCTAAAATCAAATCCTTGAAGGTTCGATGATGCTTACCGCTCCATTGATATTCTTATAGAATTAGTTACATTCAACACTGAAAACACTTAAAATGTTCATTTCATGTTAATCGTTTTTAAACTTTAAGAGTTTCATTATTTAGCTTAATAACAAGAAAAATAATGTGGGAGTTTAGAAGCCGACAAACAGATGAGGTCATCGCCGGCCCTATGCGTGTTTTTATTTCTTTTTCTAGTCTTTCACGCATATTTTTCAGCCTGCAGCCATTTGAGCGTCTCAGTCTATTAATGACTATGCGCTTTTATTTGAGAACTATGACAATATCGTAAAAAGCCTACCGTTTGTACCTCAGTTGGTCATCTACAAAATAAATATAAAACAATAAAAGTATAAACATCACAACAGCCATAGTAGTCTGGTCACATTCACTCCCCAAGAGTACTCGATGTTCCTCGGCACAGAGTTCAACCTACTTCATTCTCGCTCATAACATGCTTTTACTTTCCAGACGTTACACAGTCACTCCAGCGTACTCGATATTCCTCGGGGCGAGGTACTTTTTTTTTTTTTTTTTGGGCGTTATGAACTATGCATATTAGCCATGACAGCCAGCATATGAGCCATGTGACAAATTCGTATATGTGTGTTCAAATTTGGGGGGTTATTGGGAAAAAAGGGCCAGGGGCAACGGTGGGAATCGAACCCACGACCGCGGCGTGAGAGTCTCTCATGCTAACCACTCGGCTACCGCGGTCCCCAGGGAATCAATTTNATATACTTATCGAAAGGTTGAAAAATCCCAACTTCTCCGTGGTTGAAATATTTTATTCAATTTTGTCTATTATATGAATATTTCGGGTCTACAGCCCATCATCAGAACTTAAACATGGAAAACCTCATGGCACAATTACCGCATACACACATAAGTAATTTACAATTTTTTTAAAAATAAATATACCTGTACTATGCCATATATGTATATATACAAATCCATTTTGAAGGGATGTCGTTTCCCCTCATGGGTACAACACGATAATAAGATCCTTCTTTATATATACCATCTACCGCTATCCGCGATTTTAAGAAAAAGATATATTTATATAGAAAATAGACACCTAATGTTTACAATTAAAAAAAATTAATATATTCAAACTGCATATTACACTTTTTTTTACGATAGTTCGTAATACCAGAGGTCATATAAATCCTCAGGGTGCCGGTGCCCATTTGTAAGTATGTCGGGATCGAACGCAGGGCCGCTGGATTCGAACCCGAGACCTTTACCTTGCAGTGATGAGCGCCGTGTCAACGCCTAAAACGTCGCGGCCACCAACACCCCTGAAAAACAATTTTGTAAGGGAATTTGTTAATTCTGCTTATCTAGACAACTTGGAATTTACTTAAAATTGTATATAGTAAATACATTGTACACACATATAGCAATAGTTATTACGTAATGTTAACAATGTGTGTCTAATAGTAAATATTGATAAATAGTATAAATAATTGTAGAAAGCAGAAAGTTTTTTAGATGTACTGTGAGTTTTTGAGTAGTTATCAGCAATTTGATGACCTCTGACAATTAAAATTTTTATATGAATTTTTTATATATACACTGCCAATCAAAAAATGGCCAATGTTGGAAATGCATATTTTCTCAGCCTGCGCGCTAAGTCTCAATATTTAGACAATTTTACGCTGTAAAAAGATGGCTTTTTTTAATGTTTTCCTAACTTCGTCATTCATCAGTAAATTCAAAAAATCTGGAACGTGTCAATTTTTGCACTTTTTGCAACTGAGCTGTGGAGCCAGGAAATTATCCCAGATCGACGCCCTTTAGGTATCGATAGGAAATTTTAATAAGCTAACAACTGGTCACCTTCCTCTTTGACCGATTTCTCAACCTTTTTCGAGTTAGGGAGCGTCTCTCCCGTACGATTTCCTGGCTCCACAGCTCAATTTGAAATTTTCGTAAAAAGTGCAAAATAATTGACGTTCCAGAATTTTTGAATGTACTGATGAATGACTGAAGCTAGGAAAACATATAAAAAGCCATCTTTTTCAGCGAAAAATTTTCTAAAAAATGGGGCCTAGCGCAGGACTGTGATTTAAAAGGCTGAGAAAATATGCATTTCCAAAGTTGGCCATTTTTTCAACCAGGTTTTTTTTCTTCTTTTTTGCATGCCTTTTATTTTTTCCTGCTTTTTTTAACATTGTTGTTGATAAAATACGTCAGAACCAGAACAACTTGGAAATTTTAAATGAGGTTATATACTCTTTCACCCACTGTTTTGAAAAGAATTTTTGGAGGGGCGTAGGTGCCCGCAATGTCTTAGGCGTTGACACGGCGCTCATCACTGTAAGGTAAAGTTCCCGGGTTCGAATCCCGCGGCCCTGCATTACAACCTGACTTACAAAGGGGTCTTTTTGTTCGAATCGATACCCTGAAGATGGTAAAAAATGGTCTTATGGCACAAAAGTGGAAAGAAATGTCTTAATTTCGTTTTATTTTGAAGTATTTTCTTTTGCTGTTTTTGGGGTTAGTCGGACATGGGTCAGCACGTTTTTAGTTAATAATCCGTTGAATTTTAAAAAAAAAGTAGTCTACGTGTTTTGAATATCTTTGTGTTCCTGTTTGTGTTTTTGATGTTCAATATAGTTAGTTGAATTAACTGTACAACCATATTCATAATACATAATTAATTTAGACCCTGATGATGAACTTAAAATAGGTCGAAAGATTGGCAATTGAATTTTCGTTTTCATAAAGACCGTACAGAGATCCAGATTGTTTGTGGCAAATGGCATTCTCAATCGGTGGAATTTTCAAAGGTGAGCACAGGAAAACCGCCGAATCAACTATCATCATAACCAAGTTGTTCCATGCATAAATGTTTGGTGTGGACTCCAGTTATCAGTTAATCAGTTAATTAGGCCTGACTTCTATTAAACCAATTTAACAGAGCTCAGTTTCTGAATCTTCTCCGAGAGGATTTACCAACGCTCCTTAAAAATGTTTTACTGCAAGTATACTAAAGAACATTACAATAAACAGGAACACAGAGATCACTATCATCCTAAAAAATGCATAAAACCTATTAGCACCAAAATAGCAAATAAATGCTTAATAATAAAAAAATAAAATAATTCAATGATGGTTTTGCCAAAGTTGGTTGTAACGCCAACAACACTGTCGGTACTGCTGATGCATTTACATTGTTTGAACTTTTTGAACGAAAACTAAAACTTCACCAAGGACACCTAACGAAAGCCGCTGTTGAACTAGATTGGCGTACTGATCGTATGGCGAGACAACTTGAAGCGCTTTTAGCTGTTGCACTAGGAAATTTTGCCCCAAGGTAGCGCTTTAATCCTTCAGCACCAGTTAAGATATTTCTTTTCGCATAATGAGCCATATCTTTGTTATTCTTTTACGTATTTAAAATCTGATTGTTTCATCGTTTTCAGTGTAAAAAGCCTTTAAACAGCAGATAAGAAAAGAAAC